CTAGAGCTCATGAAAATGTCTTAATTTATGAATAAAAGGCACGTGATGAATCATTTAGTGATTTTCAAGTGTCGTAAGATCTTACTAAACCTTAATACGTATGACCTGTTTTTGCGTAGCATAAAATATAGCCAGAGAGCGAACGTTCCGTTGATCATGTGCTGTCTTTGAACTCGAAACTCTTTAAGTACGTAGTCGAATGCTCCAGTTCGAACAAACATCTGAAAAAAAAGACAAAAGAAAGGAAAACAAATGGTGTCTCTCTTCTCTATTATTTTGACTTTTCTTGCTCTTGTACTCATCCCTAGTCTCTTCATCTCCCGTCGTCTAAGTGTCCCTCTCTCCTTACAAAACATCCTCAGATTCATTAAACTCGCATTTTCTCAGCACAATGATGACGAAGAGAGGAACGAGAAACGGTATTCTCCTTCTGTTTAGTCGTGGTATCTTATTTCCGTAGTAATTTGACCAACGAACAGCGTCTATAATGCTTTATGTATAAGCTGGTCTCATTGTCTTCTAAGTTCTAACAATATTGGTCTTATTAGAAGATTCCTGTTCAAAATCTGATGGTCAAAACGTCAAGATGAACCATCTTTGTTCTACTTTGTTATATGAAAGCCTTAAACTTTGTTTGTGCTTAACTATTCTGTAGTGATACAATGGGAGAGGAAGAGAAACGACGGAGAATGCCAAAGCATGTGGTCACAAGGACTCGGGACATCGGATGGTCACAAGGCCGGAGCGAGGAGGGGGGAAATCGGCCAATTCATACTTCAACAGTGGGTTACGGTCCCGATCAGTACATCAACTCAGACCATGTGCTAAAACATACATCAACACATAATATATTTAAATTTCATACATCAACTAAAAAAAATTGGTTTTTACATACATTGACCAATAATCCGTTAGTTAAATAATGATTACGTGTCATTTTATATTTAAAATAATTAATAAAATAATAAATGTTTGAAAAATGTTTCATTTTATATTTAAAATAATTAATAAAATAATAAATGTTTGAAAAATGTTGGGGGAGGTTCGAACCTGGGTCTAGGCAGAGTTACATTGGATCCATAAACCACTGTACCTAAAGTGGTTTGTGGTATGTATTCTCTATTGTTGAATATTATTCTAACAAATATTCTCATTTTTTTCCGGTTTTTGTCTCATCATCCAAACATATTAAATAATCAAATGGTCTTTTACCCCTTATTTTATAGATAATAAAAATAAAATATTTTTTTACTAGTTTGAATTATATGTTTTCCAATTAAAACATCTTCTAATTTTTTATCAACTTTTGTTTTTGATTTTTTAAAAAAATTAAAAAGTGCCTTTTGAAATCATTTTAAAAATTTATATTTAATTCTTAATATTAATATTAAAACACAATGGTAATCACTAAGTTAATTACATACACTTACTTATTATATACTTTGTGGAACTAATTAATTTTTAGGTGATAGGGATTCTTATTACACTAGATTATTAATTGTATTATCTGTTTCATTTTTATATCTAATGTATTTTATTCAGATATTTTCTTTTTTTTTATTGATATTTCCATTTTCATATGTATGTTGTCATTGTCAGAATTGTACATCATCTAAATATGTTTATATTCTTGTTATAATCTTTTAAAGTTATACAAAGTATATAAACTATAAGTAATTGTGTGTAGTTAACTTACTGATTATTGTTGTGTTTAAAAAACAATATTAGAAATTTAAAAATAAATTTTCAAAATAGTTTCAAAAGAATTTTTGAATTTCAAAAAAAAAAATCAAAAATTGATTAAAGAAATTAGAAAAGGTTCAAATTTCAAAACTTAAAAAAAAAAAATTTATTTTCAGCTTGTATGGATGGAGAGACAGAAATAGAAAGAAAAAAATGGAAACATTTGACAAAATATGTATAATAGTAAACAACATTGAATACATTCAATAAACTATGTTTGGCATAGTGGTTAATGTATCTATTGAAACACTGTCCCAACCTGGGTTCAAAGCCCCCTCACCTCATATTAGAATTTTTATTTTTATTAATTATTAATTATTTAAAATATAAAATGCTATGTAATCAAAAAGATAACGGACAACTCAAATTCTGTTAAATTTGACTAACGGATTATTGGTCAATGTATGTTAAAGCCGAATTTTGTTAGTTGATGTATGAAATTTGAATATATTTTATGTTGATGTATGTTTTAGCACATGACCCGAGTTGATGTACTGATCGGGACCGCGGCCCTCTGTTGATGTATGAATTGGCCGATTTCCCGCGAGGAGGGTTTTAGAGAATGCTAAGGATTGTTTCGCTATGGGGATAAAAACTGGGTTGATCCAGGTAGAGGACATTGACGAGAATCTGATAGGTAAAGAGTTGATGACAAATTGTAGCGAGTTTCCAAATCCTGACCTATTGATCAGAACGAGCGGGGAGCAAAGGATCAGTAACTTCTTCTTATGGCAATCTGCTTAAACCGAGCTCTACTTTCCTAACGTCCTATGGCCTGACTTTGGTGAGGCTGAGTATCTTCAGGCCTTGACTTGGTATCAGCAAAGGCAGAGGTGATTTGGTCGACGAGTATAAACAATTTATTTCAAATAAATTGTGCGCGATTGTTTGCAATAATTGGCGTTTGATTTTGTGTGTTCTTTGATTATCGCACGCATGATTCAGTTGTTAGTATCATCGACTCTTGCAACACAAGAAACCGAGATATATCAAAAGTCCTAGTTCTTGAGGTATAAAACGTCCATTATTTTTCTTAATATATATAAAACGTCCATTATTACACATCATATACAGTTTCTTCGATCTCACCTGTTTTCACTCTCTGTGCAATGCCTCTACACGCTTGTTAAATATTGTATTTCCCGCTGTAACCAACGGCTACGACTAGCGAAGCGTCGTGTTGTTCTTTGTGACTTCCTCAACTTCGTTTATAAGTTTTAAAAGAGATTTTGGAAGTTTTGATGAATCTCCAATGATCGAGATCCGAACATTTGTTCCCACACTCAAGAAAATTAGCAGACTTGTGACACACGCATCACAAAAAAAAAAAAAAAACAATTCTTGATGGATTTTACTATACGATACTTCGGAGATGCTCATATCAGGTTCTTAATAATACAAATATTAATAGTTTGATAATTGTTTAACTTTTATTTATTTTTTGTATTATGAGTAAAATGTTGTTCAATTGAAAAATGACATATGTTCTTCAAAGGTTCTAAACAAGTTCTGAAGCAAGAAACTTTTCAGACACATTTTCTTATCTTGTGATCTTTTAAAATTTTTAATCACTTAGAACCCCATCAATATCCCACTGATGGGGTTAGCCTTACTTGACTAAAGTCCCAAGCTCTGATTTGAGCCGGAGGACAGGAAGAAACCACATACCAGCCGTTGCACCAAGACCAAAGTGGATTAAACCTCGCCTGAACAGGAACATCAAACATTCCAAACCACGGCCCTAAGTATTCCAATAAAGAATAAGAGATCCGTCATCAGAGAGGGTATCAGAACCGTCTCCCTCAACTCACCGACTTCGCTTGAGAAACCACACCAAGATCTGAAACAGCTAAAAGCGAAATTCTCTGCTGAAGACTGAGAAAACACCTAGAAGCAAGAACAAGAGAAAGGGAGTCTCTCCCTATGGCAAAGGAGCTCACAGCCCGTCGGCAAAGCAGAGATCGTAGCAGAAGATTGGAAGCGGCTGTCGAGGAGCCTCTCCCGACGGCCGGCTCACAGGTTTCATTTCTCGAAGTTGCTTTTTCAAGAAAAGTCAAGAATGGTGCCCGATTCAACGTTTATGACCTTATGTAATAACTATAATCTCATGTTTTGTCGATCAATCCCTAGTATAGAATGGAATGATTATTTGTAATGAACTATTGTCCATGTTGTTTAAGTGAAATCTACAAATGAAAAAAAAAAAAAAAAATCTCTTGTTTTGGCTTACCCATGGTTGTTTCGTTAATTTTCATTAATTGATCACCAGTCAGAGGCGGTCCTTGGACCAAGCCAATGAAGTCCATTTATATATTAAGATATTCTGGCCACATAACTTGTAAAATGTTGTCCAGTGGTGTTAGCTCGTGAAACTGGTCATGATATAGGTAATCCAGGTTGTTCTTGAGACCACATTTTCTTGATGATAAAAAAAAAAAAGAAGAAGTAGCCACTTTCTCTTTTTGCTTCTAGTCTCCAAAAACCTAGGACCGGCTATGTCGCCAGAATAACTTATGGCAATAAGATTTCTCTAATAGCTTTACTTTAAAAAACATCAACATGTAAAGTTGAATATATATATATAGAAGTTAAGTTGTATATCATGTCAAATAGTACTTTTACATGTTAGTTGTTTTTAGAGGTCCAATCAAGATGTAAAAGAGGTAGGTTAGTTGCAACATGATACTTGTTCCAGAAAAAAAAAGAGTTGTAACATGATACTAGTGTACGTTTCAAGTAGCATTTAGCTTGCGTAAACACTCCACTGAGCTAGTTGATTATTCTTTGTAACAGAGGGAAGGAAAAAAAACTATATACATGCAAACTAATGTGGGACCATAACTGTATCTACACGACTAGCTTCAACGTTAATGGTGACATTTTTTTGTGCTAAAACACCATACTTATATTACCTCAAGTTGTATATTTTTGGGATACCAATTTTTTTAATACTTTACGAGACCTCATTGATTTAGTATGAATATTTATTTACATATTTATATTGATCTAAGTCCAAATCAGAGCTCATGAATTTAAACACAAAAACACGTGATGAAACATTTAGTGATTTTCAAGTGTCGTAAGATCTTACTAAAATTACGTATTACCTGTTTTTGCGTATCATCAAATATAGCCAGAGTCAGAGAGCGAACGTTCCGTTGATCATGTGCCTCTTTGAACTCGAAACTCTTTAAGTACGTAGTCGAATACTCCGGTTCGAACAAACATTTGAAACAAAGACAAAAGAAAGGGAAAAAATGGTGTCTCTCTTCTCTATTATTGTGACTTTTCTTGCTCTTGTACTGATCCCTAGTCTCTTCATCTCTCGTCGTCTAAGTGTTCCTCTCTCCTTCAGAAACATCCTAAGATTCGTCAAACTCACAGCTTCGAAGTACAATGATGAGGAAGAGAGGAACGACAAACGGTAGTCTCCTTTTATTTAATCATAGCTTTTACGTGCTAAGCTTCTATAGTTTATTTTTCGGCTAAATTTACCCATCTCGGTGGAGCCTATTCTAAAATATTTAACTAAACCACCCGTAGATTGGAGGGTAGCTCAAAAAAAAAAAAAGATTTCAGAGTAGCAAAGTATATTATCAACCAACCTAATCAAGAAAAGTATTTAGTTTACCCAGTGTATTTAGAGCTTTCATATTTTGTAGTGGGTCGAGTCCATATTGCTAGAAACCGTTTACGCGGTTATTTCTATGTTTTTCTTTTTGCGGTTATTTCTATTTATACAATCAATCCGGATGTCGGTTCGGTTTTCTTGATTTTTCAGTATTTAAATTTATAAAAATTAGCTACCATATTAATATCATATCTACTTTGATTTGGTTCAGTTTATATACTAGCGATTTTTTATTTATTCATTTTTATACCAAAAACTATACTATATTTACTTTTTATGAAAAATTTAGTTTGTAAGATTAAAAATTAGATTTATTAAAACATAAATGTATATTTCTTACTCTAAATTTAAAGTAGGATATCTTCTTTTTAATTTTTACTATTAAAAATAAAAATAAGAAAAATACTAATATCATAATATGATAAATTATAATATTTTAGTACAAATATTTACCAATAAAAATATTTTTTATTCGATTTGATGAAAGTGAGATTTTTTTTCTAGCTTAGAACAAAGAAAAATTATAAAATTAGTAGCTTTAAATATGAATATTAAATTTATAAATAATCATGTATATAGTATTAGTTTATTATAAAATTTGCATATAAATATACTAATATATTATAATTAATAAAAAATTTGGTTTGTTCGGTTTATATACCAAACCATATCCATATACCACGGTTTCTTAAAATTAACATCCCTTCGATTTATTCGGTCTTATCAAATCTAAACCACTTTCTCTATTTTGATTTGGTTTTAACTGGTTCGGTTTTACCGGATTGAACACCCTTAAATCAATGACACGTCCAACTCTACTATACTTACTAGTTATTTACTCTCTTATTTAAGTTGTATGTTTTAATAGTATTAATCTTACCCCTCTCTACATTTGCCTGATTTATATTAATATGGTAACATGAAGAAAAGGAAAACGAAACTGCATATGGTAAACCTTGTTTGTACTTTAATTAACTAAATTGTAGTGACACAATGGAGGAGAAGAGACTGCCAAAGCATGTGGCGATTATATTGGACGGAAACAGACGTTGGGCGCAGAAACGTGGACTTGGGACATTTGAAGGTCACAAGGCCGGAGCGAGGAGACTAATGGAGAGTGCTAAGGACTGGTTCAATATGAAGACAAACACAAGTCACAAGGACAGAGCAAGAAAGCTAATGGAGAATACTAAGGACTGTTTCGATATGGGGACAAACACTCTCTCCCTCTTTGCTTTCTCCACCGAAAATTGGGCGAGACCCGAGGTGTGGATGAAACTGGAAAACAACTTTCTGGAAAACGTTTGCAAGAGTTTATCTTTCTAATCTATTTTTAAAATCTTTGATCAGGATGAAGTCAACGGCCTGATGTCCTTGTTTGAGGAATACTTTACGTCTGAGCTACCAGTCTTCAAAAGGTACCCCACCAACTGATCTTTTATTTTATAAAACATCATCATGTAGAGTTTTAGAGACAAAGTTTCATGTCTTTCTTTTTATTTTGAAGGAACCCAAACTAAAATAGTTTTTAAGAATACACGAGTACTATAAAAGCTAGTGTATATTGTTTGTAGGAAAACACACTTCATCAAAAAAAAAAACTGTATGAAACTATGCAAAATTGTATAAAAATCCATTACACTAAACAGAAATGGTTGTCATTCAACACCATCTGATGTTATTTTATTTTTTTCTTGTCCTTCTCTTCTTTGTTTAGAGAAAAAATCAAGATCTCGGTTATTGGAAACCGAACAAGGATCCCCCAGTCACTTCAAGTTTTGATCAAAGAAGCAGAGGAAGCTACAAGTAGCTATGAAGGGAAGCATCTCATTTTAGCAATAGACTATAGTGGAAAATTTGATATCTTGCAAGCATGCAAAAATATAGCTGAAAAGGCTAAAAACGGGCTGATCCAAGTTGAAGACATTGACGAGAGTGTGATAGATAAAGAGTTGATGACAAACTGTAGCGAGTTTCCAAATCCTGACCTATTAATCAGAACGAGCGGAGAGCAAAGGATCAGTAACTTCTTCTTATGGCAATCTGCTTACACTGAGCTTTACTTTACTAACGTTCTATGGCCTGACTTCGGTGAGGATGAGTTTGTTGACGCCTTGACTTGGTATCAGCAAAGGCAGAGGCGATTCGGTAGAAGAGTTTAAACTTTGTAGTTCATGTCCCACTAATAAATTGCGTTTGTTTGCAATAATTTGCTTTTGATGTTGTGTGTTCTTGTTCTTTGATTATCGCATGGATGTATCAATTGTTATTTGTTAGTAACATCGTTCTCTTGCAACACAAGAAACTAAAATATCTAAATAAAGGCTAATTATTGAAGACGATTCGGTGGAAGAGTTTAAACTTTGTATTAATGTCCCACTAATAAATTGCGTTTGTTTGCAATAATATGCTTTTGATTTTGTGCGTTCTTGTTCGTTGATTTTCACACGCATGTATCAGTTGTTGGTAACATCGTTCTCTTGCAACACAAGAAACTGAAATATCTATAAAAAAAAAGGAAAATTCGACCAAAAAATACGAACTTTGCACGAATTGCCAAAAGAAACATGTATTCTATCCTGGCAAAAAAACATTATATTTTTATTGACTTTTTAATTTTATTCGACTTGGTCAAATCACATGGTATTTTACCACTAAGCTAGTGATACTTTCATTGTATTCACTAACATATTTTGTTTTATTGAGTATTGATTGAATATAAAAAATCTCGTAAAAACTTAAAATACCTTTAAAATTACATAAAATTGGAAAAATAAAGATTTTTTCATAAAATTAATTTTGAAATTAAAATTAAAAACCAAATTTCATTTTTTCTTTTTAAGAAATCAAAAATCTTCCAAAATTTTCAAGAAAGTTTAATTTTAAATTAAATTATAAATAAATTTATTTTTTTTACTAAAAATGAAAAAAAAATCCAAAAAAATTAAAACAAATCCAAAAAATTAAAAAATTCAAAGAAAATGCAAGCAAATTAAAGTTACAATTATCAGCTTAAAATTAAAATCGCACTCATAATGGGTACAATAATTATTTTAAGCATTTTCATTTTAAATGAAAATTTTGGAAGATTTTTGATTTTTTAAAAGAAAAATGAAATTTTATTTTAATTTTTAGTTTCAAAATTAATTTTATAAAAAAGATCTTTATTTTTTCAATTTTTTGTAATTTAAAGATATTTTAAAGTTTTTTCGAGATTTTTTTTATATAATAAGTACTCAATAAAACAAAATATGTTAATGAATACATTGAAAGTGACTAAATCCCAGTGGTAAATTACCATGTCATTTAACCCAGTTAACCCTAGTTCGAATATAGGTGTCTACGTCTTTTTATTTACATTTAACTCCAATGAGAGAATGTTAAAAGAAACTATGTTTGTCAATGTAATGAAAAGTGCACAGTCCAGTGGGAAAGTCCCTACCATTATCGCTAAGTGCACGAGTTCGAATCCTTGAGAGCATATTTTCACATCTTATTTTTAAATATAAAAATACGACGTCGTTTCATCATAACGCTAAAATTTAATGTCCACCGTTACCTCTGCTAATGGTGTGTCAAAATGGTTAATTAATCATATGTTTCTAAATAAACATAAAAAGTTAACAAAAGTATAGTGTTTTTTTGCCAGTCCATATGTACATGTTTCTTTTGGTAATTCGTACAAAGTTCGTGATTTGTTTGCCGATTCCCAAAAAAAAGCCCTTGTTATTGAGGTATAAAACGTCTATTATTACACATCATATACAGTTTTTATTACACCAATTTATTTATTACAAAGAAAAAAAAACTCAAGATTTCCGACCACCAAAGCGTCTCTGTCTCTGCTGAAACGACATCAAGGCTTCAACAAAACCGTTCCTCCCAAAATCAGGCCAGAGTTCTTGAGCAAAGAAGAGCTCTGTATAAGCCAATTGCCACAACAAGAAGTTACTCACTCTTAGCTCACCACTCGTTCTTATCAGCAGATCCGGGTAAGGAAACTCGGTAACGTTCGTCTCAAGTTCTTGCTCGATAAGTCCCTCATCAATCTCCTCAACTTCTATCTCACCGTCTTTCACTCTCTGCGCAATGCCTCTACACGCTTGTAGAACATCGTACTTCCCACTGTAACCAACGGCCACGATCAGCTGAAGCCTCGTGTTGTTCTTTGTGACTTCCTCAACTTCGTTTATAACTTGTAAAAGAGATTTCGGAAGTTTTGATGAATCTCCAATTATAGAGATCCGAACATTGTTCCTACACACTCAAAGAAGATTATAGCAGACTTGTGACACACGCATCACAAAAAAAAAAAACAATTCTTGATGGAATTTATTAGGGTACGATACTTACTTGGCTAAAGTCTCAAGCTCTGATTTGAGCGTTCTCTCGAACAAACTCAACAAAAAATCAACCTCGATCTGAAGAGATATAAGATACCAATTAGGTCTTACAGAGCAAAAGTAAAACCCTAGAAATCTAGGTCAGATTTTTATTAGGTCAAACCTTAGGTCTAATCCAGTTATCGGTAGAGAAGGCGAAAACTGTTAAGACTTGGATCCCCCATTTACCACAAAGCTCAACGATCTCTCTCAAAGCTTCAACGCCAGCTCTGTGACCGTCCCAAGGCTGCAGACCTTGATTCTTCGCCCATCTTCCGTTTCCGTCCATTATAACCGCCACGTGCTTCGGCATCAGCTCAGGCTGGAGCCCCTCCGGGAGAGTTTCTTCCTCCGCCGCGGTGAACGGAGCCATCTCCGATTTGGTTGATCTGACTCTGAATCCGATTCGATTCTCCACGAAACTTGGAGAGAAAGAGATCAAGCAATCTCTACCTAGCTTCCATCGTCTTTCTAAGGCTCTGGAGTTAAACCGTTGGAGATTGAAGGATGAAGGAGCAGGAACGCGCAGGGACATCATTCTTGTTGAATCTATTACCTCGAGAACTTGTGTGGTGGTTGTGTAAAGAACTAAGGAGAAGGCATTGTGTATAAAGGTGGAGAAGATGGAATGGCCTCCATATATGGTATGAAAACGACGTCGTGTTTTGTCTCATGTTTGTTTGAAGGCGATGATAATGCTGATTTCGAAACTGAGCGCCACATACAAAATAAATTATCGTTAGAAATTTCAAACTAACAGTTTTTTTCTGTGGTTTATATATTTTCCTATTCGGCCACGTCTCTTAATATTCCAATTTATATTACTTTCAAAAGTTTTAAAATTCATAAAAATACTCCTACCAGAAGTCCTAAAATAAAAATCATACCAGCAAGCAACGCAAATAAATGTACTGCAATTTTGCAATGAAAGTTTCATTTATGAGATGAAAATTGGGTCAGAGCCCATTACTTGCCATAAATAAAAAGAGCCCACCGCTCTACTGACATGTGAGCCACGTGAGTATTGCTTCCGGCCTATTTTTCGCCACGACTCAACTGCTCCTGTCACTTTGCTTATTACCAACATAAAAACTTTTTTATTTTGTAACAGAACCAACTTTGCTTATTACCAACATAAAAACTTCATCTCGAAAATAAGTGAGAATTTAAAGATAGATTCCTCCAACAAAAAACCTCAGAAATATTTTACATCATTTTGTATATTCAATTTAATTCTAAATTTTTATTATACTCTTCTATACTAGGTGATTGTCCCGTGCTCATGCACGGGTATGAATATTCATAAAAGTAAATTTATAATAATTGATTGATATTTAGTTTTAGTTTTGAATCAATTTATATGTAGAATTTATATTAATAAATATTATATTTTTCTAATTATACATATGACTTTAGATATATTATTGTCGGTTTAATTATTTTTTGGATCAATAGTCGGTTTGGTTATCAAGTTGGTATATTGGATAATATATATTTTTTGAATTCAGCTATAATATTTTTTTATTCTAAATATAATAAAACTTTGATTAATTTTCTTATTTTTATTTCGGTTGGTTATTGTCTTTAGATATGTAAATATATTCTTAGATATGTAAATATATTATAGTTAAATTAAGTATAAATTAATATATATTATGTTTAAAATGAAATAAATAATAAGCTGAAGTGTTTGATTCAAAATTACATAAATAATATAATGATAATATTTTGAAGTCTCATGCATATATATAAATTCTAAAAATAATTAAATTATATTTGGTTAATATTTTTTTTTAAATAGGTCTTGAGTCAACCTATAATTTATATATATAAAATAGATTATTATTATTATTATTATTATTATTATTATAAAATTATATGTTCTTATTGTAGTTAGATTTTTAATTTTGGGTATAAATTAGATCAGTCGAGTCATTCATTTTGTGAGTATATTGAGTTAAATATATTTTTAATTTAAAATTGAAGTATAACTACTTTTTATTTTCGTTAATTCAAATCAAATTAATTTTATTTATTGCTTAAATATATATGTATTTTCATAATATTTATTTACTCTTTATATGTGTTCCAAAATATTACTCTTTATTTTAGTTAAGTTAAATCAAATTATTTTATCTATCGCTTAAATATACATGTACTTTCATAATATTTATCAAAGTATATTTTGATTTCTAATAAATATTATAAAATAAAGTGTAACTGATAATTTTTTGGATGTTCATGAACATATATATTTTTATTATTTTGAAAATATATTTGATGTTATTTAAAAATATATATTAATGGGGGTAATACTATTTTGTGAACTTTCCTTTTTAATAAAGTCATATTATATACATATATTTTCGTTTTGAATTTGTTTTAAAATTTTAGAAATATTTCCTTTTTATTATATATGTTATTTGGAAAGAGGTAAAAAAACTAAATAAAAAAATAATAATCTTAAAATCTAACAATTCACTAAGGGTATCTATGTAATCAACAATCACGAGAGTTAACGCGAGCGCGACACGTAGGAAAAATTACTCTTTATTTTAGTTATGTTAAATCAAATTAGTTTTATTTATCGCTTAAATATACATGTATTTTCATAATATTTATCAAATTATATGTAGAATTCTAAAAGTATTAGAAAATAAAGTGTAACTGATAAATTTTGGATGTTCATGAACATATATATTTTTATTATTTAGAAAATATATTTTATGATATTTAAAAATATATATTAATGGGAGTATTACTATTTTGTGAACTTTCCATTTTAATAAATTCATATTATATACATATATTTTCGTTTTAAATTTGTTTTAAAATTTTAGAAATATTTCCTTTTTACTATATATGTTATTTGGAAAGAGGTAAAAAAAATTAAATAAAAAATAATAATTTTAAA